ATGGGTTAAGAGAAGTGCAAACTCACTGGCAGATGGTTTAGCCAGGCAAGGGGTTAATAGAAACTCTTTGTTTTGGGCTTTATTGTAATTGTATTTGCTGCTCATAGACTGTTTTAGGGAGCTAAGATTGTTTAGCCCCCTTGCTTTGTAATTCTTCTTAAATTTAATGAATACATTTCACAGTTATTGATCAAAAAAAAAAAAAAATACTAGCAGCAAAAAAGCAAGATATCAACAAATGGTGACAGTCCTCACTCTTCACTTTACATAAAAAGCACCAGTTTGGGGACAAACACATGTAAGGTTTCTTCTTTTGCAAGTTTTCCAAAGTATTGATCTTACCATAATAGGCTTTCCAATAGAACACAACTAGTTTAGGAGGAATTGGCCTTGACTATATCTCTTTAACAGGGAAAACCTGAGAGGAGGGAGAGGAACAAAAGGATTTAAAGAAAGAGGCACAAGTGAAAGAGCCACTCGGGGTCGATGTTCAAATCCTTTTATTAGGTTTAGGAGGGTCCAAACACAAAGACTCTAGAAGAAGCAAGAGCTTAGAAACACAAACAAACTCATCATCCCTTAGGCCTCTACGAAACCCAAAGCCCCAGTTTAAGACCAAAGGGAGAACAGGGGGGAAAGGAATCTTGAGATGGGTTTCTTTTTAAAGAGGGAGATGGAATAAAGAGACAGGAAACGATCTTTTAGAGGCTGAGTGCCCACCCAAACGTCTTCCCAAAAGAGGACAGAATTTCCAGAGTAGACGTCATACCTTACAAACCTGAGGAACTTGGGAAGAGTGCTAGAGATTGCCTTCCAAGGCAATGTGAGTAAATCCCAACATCCCAACCAGGAACAGAACAGCCATGGATACTCTTTACCACTTCATGCCATGACTTCTCTTTCCAATGGCCACCTCTAGAGCCATTTACCTAGAAGAGCTTCATTCTTGCACACTACATTCTCTAACCCTAGTCCTCCTTTTTTGCTTTGGCTCACCACTTCCCACCTAATCAAGTGATATTTTTTTCTCTTCCTCAAGCTCCCATAAGAAGTCTCTCATCAATTTTTCTAGCCTCTTAGCGTCCCTATTGGGTATCCTAAGGACTGATAGGAAGTAGATTAGCAAATTGGCTAGTGTTGTTGCTTTAATCAAAGTTGCTTTGCCCCCCAGAGAAATATAGTTTCTCTTCCAAGCTGTCAATTTCTTTTCGAATTTTTCCACCACAGGGTTCCAAAATCTACTTTCCTTTGGGTTAGCACCTAGGGGAAGTCCTAAATAGGATAAAGGCCACTGTGACCAAAGGCACTCTAAGCAGGCTGCAATGGATTCTAACTCCCCTCTATTTAGTAGTAAAAGCTTTCAACATATTTGCTTACATCAAATCTGTTTAGAGAGATTTGTAGACATTCAATAACATGCTTTGTAAAGTCAAACAAAAAAGCCTTTACTCCTGTTGAAAGCTTTTCTTAGTTTGAATTCTATTCTAGCTTAATTATCCATTTTTAATCTAATGAGATGTTCCATTTGGTTAGAAGTCCCTTTCTTGCTTGAGTTATCTTTTATATAAATATACACACACACACATGTATACATACATACATACATATTTACATTTATATACAGCTTCAAATCATTTCAAAGAAGCACCTCATGAACTGTCTCTCAGTTCTTGAAAACTACACACCTATTTTGGTGCCACTTTCTGTGACTTGAGCTGATTTTATCTATCAAAATGCTGCTTTTTGTTCTTCATAGTTATCAATCCTGAAAGATGGCAAAAATGTTTAGAAAGCTATACCAAATTACTATTAACAAAGTGACCTCACTTTTCTTTTCTTTAAGGTCTCCTAAGTCCTAAATATTGCTGTTGACGATCAAGTCACTGCTTGAACTTGTAAAAATTATGTTTTTTTCTTAAAAATTGTAAAAATATGTTCAAGAGCTGGTTGGGTATCTTGTAAAACTAGGGCCAAAGGAACACTGTGCTCATGGTTGTTAATAAACAAGATTTGCAGGGGAATTCCATCTAGTTTGTTTTTTGAATAGAATACATTGTTTATGTCACACTAACATATTTATTTATTTATTTATTTTTGGTTAGAAGTCATACTACCATACTGAACTATACCTTTTGTGTGGCTCCTTAGTGCATATGGGTGCTGATATATTTTCTTTTATTTCAGTACAACAGATTATCATTTCAAAAAATAAAAACCTTAGAACTACTCTACACTTAAGTTGGTAGAAGATGAAATTTCCAGGGGCAAAAAATGAAGAAGGCAACAAGTTAGTCCATCATAAATTTAGATGGGGTTTGATAACACTAACATTTTCACATTCATTCTTTCTTGCCCACATCCTTTTTTCCTCTTCTGTAGTTTTCTTCACTTTGGGATCCCTTTGATGATTTGACTATACAGGGTTCTCACCATTGGTTGGTTTGTTTCTCTAGCTACTACAAAGTTGTAAGTTCATCAGAGAATTACTCTATGATACTGTCTAAACTCCGCGAAGAAGGAATAGCTTTTGAACCTGATAATGGATTTGAGCTACTTCCAATAACCACCATCGAGGTATCTTTCTTAAGCAGCTACTTACCTTGCTATTGTTTTATTTGTGTGTGCATCTTTATTATAACCTTGCCCCACAAAGAAATCATTTGATTTCCATTTTGTTTGTCATTCAGTTTATCTTTTGCATTATCATGCTTCTTTGGTCTATACCAATGGTTTTCACCTTGTAAATAGATGGGATATACCTTTGATGAAGGCATTAAAGATCTTTTATGGAAGTTGACATTGCTAGCCATAGCCAGCAGGATAGATGGCATACCTGATTCTTTAGATGTTGATTTTGTCTTTTGTCTTATCTGCACAATGTGAATCAGAGGGCCACTTTCTTGTCATGAAATTGTTTATATAGAAATGCTCTATAAGTTGGATTTTTTTTGGTAAAACTATAAGTTGGAATTCTCTTCTTTCACTCTGTAGTTTTTTCCTCCATTTGATACATGTGGTAATTTGTTATTTTATATTCTCTGTATGTTGTCACTCTCTTCTCTTCTCCTTTTCTTTCCATAATAAATTTGTCATTATTTATCAAGCATAATATAACATAGGAGCCATTGCCTGGTACAATGATAAAATCTCAGGCAGACAAGTGTGAGAACATGGGTTCGAGTCTGTGAGCAGCCACTTTGTGCAAAAAATGCCAAGGGTTAGGTCCATATGCAGTCCACCCCTCACCCTGGGCAGCTGGGAACAGCATTAACTAGTAGCCTTTATCAAGAATAACAGAACATTGGGAGGGGGTATAGTTAGTGAATATGTGGCATGAATATGATATGGGGAAATAGAAATATTTGTGCACAATTTGGAATAGGGAACATGGAATGCAACACAAAATTCAGTTCAATAAATCTAATACTGTAAAAGGTTGGCTAGATGCATTTGTGTTTAATATCTTTTCATTTAAAGAGTTCAAAATAAAATGTTTGGCATGTTTTATAGGTAAATGTGTATAATATATTAACTACATGCATATGTATAAATATTAATTTTTTAATTTATAATATATAGTCAAAAGTTCCTGAATTTTTGGTCCTGCATTTTTGAAAATTCAAATTATTTGCATATAATATACTTTTCCCAACTTATACACATTTTCAGTATTTTTTGAAAAATATGTAATCTGGGCATTTTCTTTAAAAGAATATTAATGTGTATTCTATTTGTATTATATGCAAAATTTTTAACTATTGGAGGGGGTGATGAGAAGAACCCAAGATGGAATTTTTGATATTCTGGCATAACAATGTGGAGGTTTTGATGTATTTGGATTCAAAATCAGTGCGTGATAAGATGACAATGTATGTGTCTGTAATTGTATTCAATTTATGTGCTTTCCAACTTATTTGATGACTCGTACATGTCTTAATCTAGGACTTGTGGGACTTCATCTTCCTTTTTTTTCCCGAATCTTTTTTTTATTATCTATCTGAAATGAAATGTTACTCTAGCGCTGAACAGAGTGGAATGGTGAAATAGGATTCATGTAGTTGACCCTAGATTGTTGAGACAAGGCTTAATGATGATTAAATGAAATGTTACTCCGTAGTGTGAGGAGGTTTCTGAAAGGATTTATTGTATGGGTATCTACCGTAAGCTGCACTGCTGTCATTAAAATTCAGAATTTTTTAATGCATTCTACTGTAGTGGCTGACCCCAAATAGTTGGTAAAAGTCTTGGATGATGATGATGATGATCTACCGTAGGCTACACTGTTGTCATTAGAAATACTCCCTTGCTAGATCAACCATCTGCATTTTGTCATAGAAGAGGTTGATGGTAATTTCTAAATGCTGGGTTTTCTCCTTCTATGAGTTCTTGCAATAAATAGCTTTAGCTTCATTCCATAAAGAAACATAATAGAAAAATTCAGAATCTTTCAGTTTACTGGATCATAGTATTGGATGCACTTTAGCTTCTTAAGGGGCATTGCCTTCCATTTTCTTTCTTGTGATGCACAAAGATTGCTGACACCCCATTAAAAGAACTATTCAGTTAATGTTTTGAAACTTTCTAACCTTGTTTACATAATTCAAGATTTGCCAGCACATTCTGGCATTCAACGTTCAAGTTTTACCAGAGTTATTGTATTGGTGGGTTTCAGGTTGATGATGAAGCTATGGAATTGAACAAAGAACTTATGTCCAAATTACTTGAACTTGATGATGTCGATGCTGTTTATACAGACCAAAAGTGATCAAACTAGCTGATGTAATCATCATGTCTGTAAGATAATATCAAGGTTCCACCGCTGCAGGATCCATCTGCAAATCTTTGCTTTGCCAGAAAATTATATATCCTTGCATCATCTGCTGCCAACACGAGGGAATTTTCCATCGTTGTTCAGATGAAGATTAATTTGAAGTAAATTTGTCTGCTTCTTATATCCCAAATCATAGAAGAGAATTATGGAGCAGCAAGATTTTGACAATAAAATTTTGGTTTGAGGTCAAATCACCATAATTATAGTAATAATATCAGGTTTGCTTATACTGTAGGCATGCAATGTTCATTGTTGTATGGTTCATTTACAATGGATGTTCCCTGTTTTATTTGAATTAGCCCATAAATAAGTGGATCGGTACAGTTTAACCTGAATAACCATTAATAATTCATTTACATACTATGTACAATAGCCACATCCTGCTGATAGTCATTACATACATATAGTACATTGATGAAATTCCATATTTTTCACACCTTAATTTGGAAGCTCAAACAGCTAAGTAGGCTGAGATTGTCTGAAAGATGTCAAAGATGCAGAAACTATACAAAATAGATACATTTGCTAAGCATTCACAATTCCAGAGTAGAAATTCTTGATACACTAGTATTGCCACTTCACCATCTTATATCAATCAATCATTTACCCAGTAGTGGATTTTCCGCATTCTTTGGAACCCAGCATCCATGTAGCCCGTATGGAAGACCATAAGGAAACTTTGCTCTGGCAATCTCTTCAAAGGTGGAACCGTCTAACAACAGTGCGTAACCTTCACCGTTCTTAGCACTGACCATGGAGATAACCACACCTGCAATCGCAATTAGAAGTGGCTAGTTAGTGACTCCTCAAGTCAAGTAAACGTCTCAACATTAGACTGGTGCAAGGTTCAATCTTGTTGGCTCACCATCGTCTTCTTCTGTTGCGCCAGGACGGGCTACAAAAAATGGCTCTGATGGCACAGCACCCTCTTCATGCCAATTCTTCGCCGTTTTCTTGAGCAAGTCGATCTGTGATACATTTGAGAAATTGGGTTGATGAATTCACAGGAAACCATGTGGGATTAAGCAAGAACTATGCATTAACAAACATCATCTTTTATCCAGGCTTTATGACCAATGTTACCTTAGTGATAGTATTGGGGAAGTTACAAGGGCGTCGGGCTCCACAAGCATAAGCATATCTGTATTTCTTGCCCAGGAAAGCAGGGTTGATGCTGCACATGTCCAGCCCTCTTCCATGATGGTCTGGGTCCAACGCTGCCTCTAGCTTCCCAGTTGCGCTCCCATCCAGAGGAATTGTGAAACGGCCAACCCTGTAATTATTTTTCATGAGAGCAAAACCCAAAACCATGGTTTTTAAAAACGAACCGGTCAGGGGTCCGGTTACCGATTCGAATGGTCTGACCGTTCAACCCGAACAGCCGGCCCATTCTGACAAAAAAATAAAAAATTGAAAAACGGTTAAAACTGTTCGAATGATTAATCGACCGGTTCAGCGGTTTGCTGACCAAAATCAATGGTTTTGAGGGAAAAAGCGGTTTCAGAGGAAAACGGAATCGGTCAGGTGATCGGTTTCCGGTTTTTCCGATCCGACTGTCCGGTCCGGTCCGGTTTTGAAAACAGTGCCCGAAACCTAATTAACAAAGTGTTAATTAAACAGGACAGCGTCCATCCAACATGTTGGGGGTGCATGATGAGGCTCTTACTGGTCCAGGGTGAACTAGTAGCCCCATGAAACGAAAGGCAAGCACATGCAGGAAAAGGTAGAACTGGAAAAAAAATTATATTCGGTTACAGAAATTTACCTAGCATCAGGCAATACATCTTCGCCGGAGAGTGATCGGAGATTCTGTAGCTTGAGCTTCTCAAGAATTGTGGTGTCGGCATTGTGCTCGCAACAGTCGGCGATGATGGCTGTTGCTCGACCATCCTCATCTTTCTCTTCGTATGCATTTATAAAGTGGAAAGTCACGTACAGAGGCACCTCCACGGTGGTCACCTTCAATTTCAAGAAACCATATTCATTATATGAAAAACAATATATGGCCAAATTGAAATTTCAGAAATTAGTGAGACTTTCTTCTCTAAATTTTTGTCCAATTAAATGGAAAATACGGCCATTGACGAAGTAGAATAAAGAAATAAACTTCGTGTTGTCAACCCACTTGGGTAGGTAGCTAGGATGAGGCAGGTGATGATGGAGATGGATGATTTTTACACCCAAATTCAACTCAACTCAAACAAAACCTTATCCCAACTCAACTAAGTCTATATGTTGTCACGTTGCAGGGATGCTGTTTCACCATTCTAGACCGTCTATAAGGCGATGCTTATTTTAGTTTGGCCATAAAACGGAGCCAATCAAATCCAATTTCCTACCTTGCTCCATACCCGTGCTTAGTGGGGTTGAAATTGACTCACCAAGTAGTTAAGTACCCAAGTCCGAAGAGATCGGATATGAATATAATTGGGTAATGGGTATGGATTCCACCATACACATATTTTCTTTGAAAACCCCACTAGAAAGTAGAAACCAAACCCATTTACCTTGGATTTCAGGACTCAAGGATTTTGGTTAATAGATTACTCTTTTTTTTGGTAAACATTTATATATATGTAGAGTATGTAGAGAGAGAGAGAGAGAGAGAGAGCTTACTATTTTGCCTGTGGCTCTACACATAACGTGAATGAAGGCCTTGGATTCAGGGTGCCACTCAAACTTGTACAGTGGTGTAGGCTCAGCCCTCAATAGATTCTGAACGCAATACCTCAACGGCATCTCTGGCACAATTATATAATTCTCCGTCACAGGGAACGAGTGGACCCAACCCGGAGACGGTCCACCCCGACAATTCACTCTTCCTAACACCTTCCTCTCGTTCGTCCCTGCTTCCATCCTAACTACCACGTACCCTGGGTTCACCAAATCAGGTAATAGCGTCAAGAACTCCGACTCGGTCACCACCGGGTGCGCCGAGTGGATCAACCCACCCAACTTGTCGCTATACTCGAACTTCCCTATTGTCTCCAGTGTATCCGGGTTGATCTGAATCGATCCTTTCACTGTCTCTGTCAGGCACACGACTCGACCGTCTCCAAGCATAACCACGCCGGTGTTGGCGTTATCTGTCAACGATACACCGGAGAACAGGTTAACTAGTTCGCCTACATATGAGAAGAAATTGGCCGGCTTTGGGACCTCGGAGAATTCACGGTAGCATAGCCTCTTGTTCTTCATAGCTGCCTTATAGGCCTCCGACTCTATCTGACGGTGGCCGGCTGTCAAGCGGCCGTTGTTGAAGTGAAGTCCGACCAGGGTGGCGTAGCCATCGAACAGGTGCCGGAAGCTGTAGTCTCCGATGTTCCACAGCCCTGGTCCATTCCTCAGGTAGGTCCCTCTCTGCATGCAAGCAGCAATATACTCTAGTAGTTAAAACTAATAAATCTCTCCTGAATTCGATCCCTCTAATTTAACGTTATAAAATTAATAAACAAAATGGGATTAAGAGATTAAGTTTGTTTTTAATTTCCCCCATCACCTCCGAGACTGTAACCTGCTGTGAAATGGATGACACATCAACACGTGCTCATCACGTGAGATTTAACTCTAAGGGTAGAATGATGATAATATAAAATTAATGCAGTACTGAGTAGTGTGCACCATGCAACAAGGCAAAGTTGTTTGATTTATCTTTCGCATCGATCTTGTGAATTAATTCTTATCAAATAAATTCTCGATGATCAGTAATTAATATCTGGGTGCAAAGAAACCAACAGTAAAAGGTAGGTACCAGCCATAATGGAATCTCGCCCTCAACGAGCAGCTCTCCTTCCCATCTCTCCTGTCGTATGCTTGTCCAAGCTGATAGCTTTCGTTCATGGCTGCTTTCCCTCGGTGGAGGTGATGATGGAACAGAAAAAAGTGGTCGGGTGGCAACGCTGCAGGTGACGCTTAAAGCCCGCCTGTTGCGACCCTTAGTCGAGAGATGTAGTAGTGATCCCTTGTTCATCAAGGAAAATCCATTTCTACTAATAATATTACGTCCAGAGTCATCGGAATCCGTCCAAATGGACGGAAAAACGTTGCCTCCTGCAACAGTAGTACTAGACACTGTGAAAGCCATATATGGCACTGAATTGAAACTGAAAGACACAGCTTGCCAAGAATACAAATTAAAGGGAGTATATTGTATATGGCAATGGCTGGCTTGTCAAAATGAGGGGGGCTTACATGTGGTATTTATAGCCTAGGTTTTTCACGTGGGAATCTGGGCTGACGGAGTAGAGTTGATAAAAGGGATCCAACATTATTATTTACTTACATTTCCCTTTCCATATGTTTCTGTTTGACTATCATCAATCTTGGCTTCCTACCCTTAGGCTCTGTTAGTGCTCTCCCTTTGTATACCCAAATAAATAAATAATGATGTTAAACAATGTTATTAATTTAATTTTTATAATGTTTCATTTTGATAGGAGGCTGGGGGTTGTGGGAAATAAAGGAAAAGATTCTAATTATTATTTTTTATTACTGCATGCTCCTTAATAAATCAATCAATAATTCTATGAGGGGACTTCCAACAAACAATCTTAGTGAGGTCAATAGGGGACTTTATAGGATGTAACGTCATTTCATTTTATTTGTGATGTCGGAAAGCTTAGGAAAATAAAATTAACAGAAAAAGAAGAGATCTCAAGTCAATCACCCCATTACTCTTTTTCAATGTCAAGCAGATTTAAAAAATATATATTTAATTAAGGACATAGGATAGGGTTGATCAAGGTGTTTGAGTTGTGGCATATATAGCTAGGGATTCACTATTTGATTGCTTAAATCACCAGGTTTCAAGCACAGTTAACTGCATTTTTAATGAAATCCGATGAGTTCACAATGACACCATATTAATAATAATAAAATTAAGGTTCTTAGATAGTTTCAAAGCAGCGATCGAAACTGAAGCAGCACTATTACATTGGCAGTGGACTCGTATTACCTCACTATTGACAAGCCCTCTTGATTCTTAAGTAGGGTTGGATTTGAGTCGACTCGAGCCAAATATTTGGTTATTCAAGTTTGATTTGTTGAAATTGTGTTAGGTTTGAATTCAAGCTTGATTTGAGGTAGAGACTTGAGCTCGAGCTTGGCTTTGTTCAAGGCTTGTAAGTTCAAGCTCGGTTTAGATCGAGTTCGACTATAAGCCAAGTTTTTTTTTCTAAAAAATAAAAATTATACATATATATATATATATATATATATTTTATTTTACATACAAAAAATAAGAATTATAAAAATTATTTACTATTATACATAAAAAATAAAAATATTATATATAAAATATGTTTTTATTTTACATACAAAAAATAAGAATTATAAAAATTATTTACTATTATACATAAAAAATAAAAATATTATATATAAAATATTATTATATATAATAGAAATGATTTATTATATATATTTATATATTTATATGTATATGTATATGTATATATATGTAAGTATGTATATAATAAAAAGTATTTATTTATTATACTAGGCTTGCGAGCCTCAAGAGTCAAGTTTTATTGAGCTTGAGCTCGACTCGATTAGGAAATGAGCCTATATATCAAGCTTGAGCTTAGTTTAAACTAAACCGAGCCAAGCTTTTCACGAGTCGGGCTCGAATAGCTCGTCAGAAGCTCGGCTTGTGGCCACCCCTACTCTTGAGGGTCATTCAAGGCAAACACGTCGATAATCTAATTAAAAGAAAGTAGAAATCAATAAAACAATCCTGATTACTTGGGGTCTACAACTTGAATTGTTTTTCTTATTGACAGTTTCTAAAACAAATCAAAATCATCTGATTTGAAAATAGATTGTTTCTTAGAACAAATAGAAATATATTCTTGATAGCGTATGATTTTTTTGAAAGGTGTGAAACGTAAAACTGGGAGAATGACCGATAACCCCAGGGTCAGAATTCGTAGGCTCAAAGTACATTTGGGGTAGGTGCCAAGTCGGAATTGATGGCAATTCACGGGCGGATATAGGTGTATAGAGTGTGGTTTTTGGACCTTTTGAATGTTTATAGCTTTGCAGTGGGAATAAAAAATCTACATTAGGCCTGTCTATACTTTTCCATAAAACTTTACTTTTTTTTGTTTTAAAAAAACAATTTTGATGGTTTCGAAACCATGATTTTTTTGATAATACAAGCCATGATTTTTTTTGAAACTCTTATTTTCACCTCTCGAAACAAAAAACAAACTGATGGACATAATGATCTTATAATATATTAGACAAAAAAGCCATGATTTAAATAATATATTATATATATAATTCTTTATTTCCATTTCTTATGATTTGTAGTTTCGTCTGAATGGAGTTAGGGCACATGAATATTTTCTTCCCATTGGTAACCAATGGGTTCTCTTGATGTATAATCATCTAAAACTATAAATAGGGTGGTAGGACAAAAAAATTTCACAAGCACGGTGAAAATGAAAAGTATACGTACTTTATGAAAGGAGTAAAGCTCTTCCATTCCATGGGTATGAGTTTGTCCTAGACTCCCGGTACTTAACCCTATTTGGTGAATTAACTACACATCGGTGAAAATGAAAAGTATACGTACTTTATGAAAGGAGTAAAGCTCTTCCATTCCATGGGTATGAGTTTGTCCTAGACTCCCGGTACTTAACCCTATTTGGTGAATTAACTATACATCCTTACATTTGATCACCCACCGGCGGGTACGGCTGCAAATAAACAGGATCATATCTGATTCAAACACGAATTAGATCTGGTAAGAACTATATTGGATGCCTCCTAACAAATCGGATTGAATTGGAAAAATAATCAGTTTAATTAATGGATCAAATTTGAATATTCCCCGATCTGATCTGCCATGACCTGATCCGATCCATTAATTATAAAATATTGTGTATTATATATATTATTCATATTATAATGTATTATTATATAATATAAATAATATATCATCAAGTTTTTTAACTACAATCCAAATCAAATTAGATTCAAATTGAATATTGAATAAAGTATTCGAACCCCTCCCTTGTTTCCATGCTCTTTTGCTTTTAGGCATTTCTTCTTAGGCCTTGTTTTTTTTTGTTGCTTTTTGTTTTTTTCTGTCCTTGTTTTGTCATGTTTTACCAAAACAAAAAAAAAAAATCGAATTTAAAACATAATTTTGAAAATCTGATAGATTATTATTGAAATGAGATTGGTCGAATTTGAACCATAATTTTGAATTATAATCAGAATAATCTGATAGATTATTATGGGCAGGTGTATTGGGTGGCCTGTTAATGACTCGGAAAGGGCATTTTTATCAATCACACCACATGCGACGAATTAATATAGTGAGCCACTAAAACAGTCGGATTGGATGGAACTAGGTAACTAGATGGAAACTTGAAAATTTGAATGTAACCGAAATACAAGAATTTCAACCTCTCGATTAATTAATAGTAGTAGTTAGTAGTTAGTACTTGGTACTTAGTACGGAGGGAGCTCTAAATTAAGGAGGGGCACCACGCCTCCACCGCAGTGATAGTTTTAGCGTCGTCATTCAAAAGGAAGACTGTGCTGAGTCTTGTTCACTACATCAGCCTCCATTTTAGTTGGGGCTACAACCTACAATGAAGTTGCAGAGGAGGACCCACACAGGAAGCTATTCAGTTGGCCATTGACAACGGTTGAAAAGATTTTGGAGACAGTCGGTCATATCGTTATCAATTTGAAGAGAAGAGGAAGAAGAAGAAGCACTGGTGGTCCAGCCTCCAGCCCCATAGACGAAACGATGGCCTAATTAATTAGTATCATTGAGCTCGACCGAAAACGAAATGTATGTATGGTGGGTGATGTAAGAGTTCTGGAGCAAGTAGTGGAGTTCAAATGGAAAATGAGGTAGCTGCTATATGTCTAGCGTATGCGTATCGTGTGTGTGGCAACTGGCAAGGTAAGGTTGGTTGGGTTTGGAATTAAGTATACATGTAGCAAATTAAAGGAAAAACCGCCTCATTGTATTTTCAGTATTATTTATTTATTTTTGGGTGGGGGTGGGGGCCTGGTAAATTATTAATATCATATTTCAGAAACCCAAATAATGTTCTTCGTGCCGTCTGTGCGTGGTGACTGGGATATTGGTAATAAAACTAGCTACCATTGACTCCTATTAACACAGCAAAATTATTATTATTATTGTTGTTGTTTTTTTTATTTGTGATAGTGATAAAGGAAGCATTCTATGGTGTCAAACACGACTTCGTGAGCACCATCCATCATCAGTTTTTTTTTTTTCGTTTCTTTTCTATACATGCAACTTGCATTTGCATATGTTATTATTGGAATCAAAAGTTTCTCGGATCTTTTGTCCACGAGAACCTTGTTCATATTTATCACAACTATATATTGAGAATATCTCATCTTCTGTATAGTATTATATAGGGGGAGATGTTCGCAATTCAGGGAAGGTGGTGTATTATGGGTAGGCGTGGATGGAATTCTCCTAGACAGGAGATCCAAGAGTCTTGTTATTTTGGCTAGAATTCCGAATGTAACATGAATGTAACAGTACTGGCTGCGGAAAAAGCGAGCATGAATGTAACAATAAGCAGCAAAATATCCTTTGATGGGCTTTAGATGATGCAATAAAAGCAGTTGAAGGTGCTTTAATTTGGAGCTAGGCATCAGCATTTTTGTCTTTTGCCCATTGTCTTCCCTCCTCTTTTTCTTAAAATTTCAACTCTAGAATAGGAGGCGCCAAGATGGGGCCGAATGAATTGCCTATATATCTACCTCTATCAATAATCTGATTGGCATTGGTAGTCTACGCTAGCTCTGGTCATGCCAACGGTAGTAGTAGTAGTAAACTAGTAATTGTTGTTGAGTTGTGGTTGAAATATAATACAAAGGAAGGATGCATTTGCGTGCGGAAAAGAAGCTAGGCAAATTGGGTTGAGAGACAGCCGGCCGGCCTCTCAATATTTGCAGCCCAAGTGTCGGGATGTGAATGGCAGACACACCGTACAATCTCTCTGACCTTCTTGCAAACAAACATTTGGGGGACAAGCAATCATAGTTTTCTTTGAAGAATTGGAATCAAGTTGAAACCAAAAGCCCTAAAGCCTAAAAATGATTAAAATCTAAAGATGGTTTGATCAATGAATCTCTTCTGATGTTAGGCATAG